GCTAGTTAGAACGAGACAACGCTAATTGCGGCTTTTTTAACGAAAAAGCCAATTACTATAAAGTTTGACCGAAAGTTTTCGGCGTCAAGGACTCCGAATCTATAGATGGTTTCTCGAAACTTTTGAGTTTGATGACTTTCAATAAATATTATGTGTAGAAAAGCAATTCAAATTTCACTATAACATTTCATCGACGTCGTCATAACGTTCTCTATCTTCAAGCATTCGCACAGTAACTGTAGCTTTTGTATTTCTAATCAAGAATCCTGTCATTATAAATCAGATAATATCGTATGGAAAGCACAAACGTGAATCAGATAGATTATAAATGGAAAAGAATCATTAACTGAGAAATGATACTTAAACATAGAAGCGGCTAGCCATGAGCGATGCTGATGAACGACTCGTCGTTGATTCAAAAAGTTCGTTGGAGATACGCTTCAATCAGCAATGGAATTGATAGAAAAATTATCAATCGATCGAGTCTGACCGACTGAAATACTGTCCAAAACCAGTGAAAGATTGAAAACTATTTCTCCAATTACTTCTGAAAAATGATTTTTCTGCATGAATAAAACATCTTGAAACCATATCTTACGAAAAACATCACTTAACGCGTTTGTATTAACATAGTCTCCGTGTAGATAAAAAAGTCAATATTTCATGGTTGAGACTCAAATGATAGTCATTGCGAAAACTGGAGTGAAGATAACTGACATACATAAACAACATCAACTTGCTTATATGTTTATTATTAATACAAACACTGAACAAAAAGAAAAAAGATTAACATTTTTTTGAATTTTGTTTTCTGTGTTAAAACATAAATATTGAATTTCTCTGCCACTATTAAAAAATGTTTCAGAGCTACCATAGTATAACAGACAACTCTTTACCTTGAATAAAAATCACAAAATACACTGAAGATGTGCGGTGCAAGGCATTTTCATGACTCGTAAAATTTTTTGTTACTTGGACATTGGAGTGTGAGTGTTGAAAGAGAGGACTGATGCACCCACACCCATATCTACTTCACATCCACACTTATACCCTATTGAGATGTTAACAAGATTGAACAGTGTTAAAAAACGATTGTGTTAAAGTTCTCAGCCATATTCATTTGCTTAAAAACATTTCTGTTTGATAATAGGTGGTTGATTTTAGATGCATTTTTAAATCAAATATTTTTTCAATGATCATTTCTTTCGTCGTAGATTCAATTTTAGATGACTCTATTTATCTCCGATTAGTACACAATTGAAAAATTTCTTTATATAATGAGATTTAAGATCACAATCATATGCAGTTTTAATGCTCATATAGAATTTTCATTTATTTTCTCCCTTCAGTTTTTTGATTTACGAACAAAACCAAATATACATGGAGTTTTTCGAAAAAAATTGAATTGAAAACATCAGTTTTGATATATAAATATTTCAGTTTATAAATATAGGAAATTACATGCCACATTAATTTTTTCGTTTTTCTTACATATTTTGTAGGTGTGAGTGTTATTTTTTCCTCCACGCAAACCCACACTCACATCCACCCTCAAGTAGCTGCTACTCAGATCATAAAAAAATAATTCTGTTAATCTCATCTCATTTTTTTTTCGTATATTTTCTGAATAATTAGAATCAAAATATTAGATCGAAAAGCATGGAATAAACAGAAATCTTTATTAATCAGTGATCATATAAATTTATTTTCACGCAATAGCAGAAACAAAATTGATTAATTTATATTTTTTTCAAGAGAAAGTGACACGTGCTGGACCAGTAATCAAAATAGAGAACAATTTTTCATAGACATCAGTGATACTAACCACTAAGATATACGCGCCAGATCGCAGTGAAACACCAAAAGAACTAATATGGATTCCTTGACCGCCATATTCATACGTCAGTCGATTCATTGATAAGTTTATAGGATTAAAACTATCCTTAAATAAGTCAATAGTTCCAATAGAAACAAAATATGGCAAATTGTCTACATTGCATTCGAACCTATAAACGCCAGAAGTTGATATAATAACTCGAATTGATTTATATCTATACGTCATTTTTTCATATCTATATATGTCGTTTCGTTCGACAACATATGTTGGACTATTCATTGTAACCGCTCCGGAATAGTTCGATGTTACATTCACTGCTAAAAGTATTCAATAAAATAAATATAGATTATTAAATTTTTTTCAAGCTTCATTCAGATCAATGATGATATAATGCTTATCTTTGATCAAAATGAGGAGTAATCACTCAGAAGATATGTTTTGAACCAGAGCTCTATATAACTACATCTTTTAAGACACAGTTTCGGTTCGCTGCATTTTTAGTATCAGTAACTTGGGATTGAGAAAATGCATGAGTGGAACAAAATATACTTCTGGATGGCCAAAAGAACATCGAAAACAGAGACACTCGAAAATACGTGAATGATATGATAAGTGGTATTTCCATCCTCGACATTTTCCCAACCAGTCACTATAAAAGTCTCATGTCAATAAATCGAAGCATATTTTACCGTGGATTATCTTTTCTTGACGGATCAACTAATTCCTGATACGATCTAACTATTGAAGTCAATATTATTTTCTTCGCTATAAAAGAAAATTTATTAGTTGCTAGTTGCTAAATCTCGGCTAGCTTAATAAAATGTTATACTTTGAAGAGTCACTAGTATGAATACTTTCATTATTTGATTGAAATAAATCACATTTATGAAAATATTTCGATGTATATTCACAACAGAAAATTTTGGGATATAAATAATACAATAGAAGTTATTCTTTAATAAATACATATAATGTAATTCCACATACCTGTTAAATAAAACTTAAGCCCAACTACTGTAGTGCCGAGGATGAGACCGATTAGAAAAATTAATAAGCAAATAATTATAATGTAAATTTTTCGAATATTCTTTGTAGCTCGTCGATTTTCTTCAGGTAGATCATAGTATATTAGTGTTCTGAGAGGAGCACTAGGTCTTACGATCGGTTCAGAATTCTCTGGTGGTTGTTCATTTCGATATTGCTCAGCTAAAAGTTGCAAACGATCATCAAATCGTAAATCATTAATTCGTAATGGTTGTCCAGTAAATGGACTAATGCCTTCTTCGGAAATCCATTGAGTAATTGCTTCTCGTTCATAAGTATAACCATCTGTTGCGAGAACTGGATCACGAAACGTTTTCGATGTCATATAAAGATTAAGATCATTGATGTCATTGGTGTTTATACCAACTATATTCCTCATGGCAAATGTCGTAAACTTAACGATGTGGTAAAAAAGAATTGATTTACTTTTATTCCATTTTCGTTTTGTGACAATAATTTCTTTTTCTTTCGTCGTTAACAAAACATTTTTTTAAAGTGCACATTGATTTCACATCATCTTCACATCCACCATCTCGCAACAACAAAAGGCCAACTACAATTTTCTTTTTCTTTCTCACATTTACTTAGGTTGTTATGAAAAAAAATGCATTGAGTTTTATTGGAAGAGAAAGATGTTGATTCAATCTTTCGTTTAAAATCTTCTTGAATAAACTAGAGTTTAAATTATTTCGATCATTCAAGTTTAAAATCATTATACTTGTAATTGAAAAATGAGATGATTTACACTGCTGATTATAATTTTTAAAGTGAATGTAAATAAATGTTTGTTGAATTTTTTAAACATGCATCTATTTTGCATTTGATTTTACTTTGTGTTCGTCTAAATCTGACTGAATTGTTCGTAGATAATTGTATTTTTTATTCATAATTGTTATGAATCAATAATCCAATATGAGATTAATTTTAAGTTTATTTGATGTGAATTAATTGCAAGCAAAACATTACTGAAAAAATGGAGAATGCTTTTCAACACTCAGAAGCTCTTTGTACACATGATCGAAATGATGATTTTGTTTGGAACCAAATGAATGAACATTAATGCAACTTAATGTTGTCGTTTTTAGCCATGAAACAACAAAATTTATTTGATGTCTGAAGACTATACGAACATCTACTAGCAATTTGACTTGTTTTTGATTATCTGCATCCAGACGAGTGATGTACAGTGAGTTTCGACCAGTATTCTTGATAAAGAGATGTTAAAACACTTCTTGACACATCTTTCTTGTTCTATTATACAACTACAACAAGCCCAAGTAAGCAAAAGACGGGTTAGATGTCTAGCCTTTTTTCTAGTTATGTCATCCCATATCGACTAGTCTTTGTCTCAAGAAAGACTTATCATGACTAGTCTGAACTTCGACTCATCATGTATACCCAGGTGATTCTCGCTCGGTCGGATTCCGTCGGATTCAAATAATTGCGTCCGTATCTTGTCAGATTTTTGTCGGAATCCCATGAGCCGGATTCCGACTGTCGGATCTGATCGGACACGTGCAAAATCCGATAGGATTCTGTCGGATTTTGTCTGTTTTTATCGGATTCTGACGAAATCCGGACCGGAATCCTGTGCAAGGATTGCTTGTCTTGGGTACCAGTCCTAATATGTTGCTGATGATGGTCAGGAACATGATAAGACTAGTCCTTTACTCCGAAGTGACACATCCAGGACTACAAATTTGTCACTTGGGAGGAAAGTGTGTTCGTAACATTTGGACTAGCCCTGGTTGAGGACTTTTTGAGACAAAGACTAGGCAGGATGGGACAACATAACTTCCGTCCGAAACCGATTTAAAATTGAAAAAGTAAGGACGTCATGGATGGTGCATGAAACGAGTTGTAGTCTTATGTAATGAATGAATCCGGACGAATCGAAATATAAATATGTAAGGATGAAGATTAGATTCGCACATGTATATAATATGTTACTTACCATCGTTTAGACAATTGAGCCATACGATCAAGAGATCAACTTCTACATGTTCATAATTACTCTAAGATGCTATGTAATACAACTTTGTTTAAAGTTTTTCAAGCTATAATTTAAAAAAAAAGGTCTATTAGAAAATATAAAATTATTTAGACAATGTTGAATGAAATAAATTTTAATTTTTTAAATTTTTTTTTAGAGGAATTTCTTCTGATTATTATTAACTAGAAGTAGTTAATTATGTTGAAAAAAGTCTTAAATACCAAAAAAATATTCAAAATTATTTAAAGTGAAAAGAAACTAAATTTTTTGAAATTAAATTTTAATTGCACATTTCAAACTTCAAACTAAACTAGATTTCTGTCATTTAAACACACTCTTCAATCTAAACCATCAGAATTTATTTTTTTAAATAAAATGAAATAAATGATAGGTGTAGGTGTATCTTTCCTTTATTCACACAGAGGGTGTGCGTGTGGGTATTCCTTCTATCTACATCTACACCCACCCCAAAAAATCACATAAAGTATTTTAACCATTCACACATTATTTCTTGCATGTAACATTCACCGATGCACCCATCAGTTTTGGTTCTGATGGTAACTTCAGTGTCACATTTGTTGTTGTCGCATCAACATCTGATGATACCGTGCATCCTTCACCATATCCTATTCGATCAACGGTCACTTTGACAACATCATTCACACGTGTTGGATGAGACGCCGTTATTGTAAAATCACTTACAGTTTCACTAAATAAATAAGCACCAGCATCATTCAATTCTAAAGTTATCTCAAATAATGAACTTTTGCATGAGAATATTGTTGTGATATTATCCCATATAACAAATGATGCACGTTTTAATCCTGGCCACATAGTTCCATGAAAGAGATTGTTAGTCGATATACATGAAAAGATTTGTTCTTCATTATACTGTTTGATCAATATAGGCATTGATTCAAGAGATACATTAGGTAATATCATATAATTATAATCTAGAGTATACGGTCCAAGTCCATGATTTATCCAAATAGTTAACACACGTGCTGTCACTGTATAATTATAAGCACCAATATCATGATAATTTCCTGTTTTATTTCCAAGTTCAATTCCTAATGAAGTATATTGTTGTTGAAGTTGTAAAAGATAACCAATATCAGATTCACTTATATGTATCCATTGTACATTAGATGTTCGATTTTGAACATAAGGAAAAGAATAGTTTCCATCGGAAAAAGTCATTACTGTTGAATTGAAGAATCCAATAGTGATTTGACCAGTAGGTAACAATCGACTAGCAAGTGTAGTCCATGCTGTTGTTTGTGTTGTTAATGTTAGATTAGTAGCTAATGCAATGATTGCATCATCGTAAAAATGCCATGATCGTTTGGCTGTCAGATTATGTGATGCTGTATCCATCATTGCTAAACCATACTGATCATCACTAACACCACCAACAAAAGATAATTTTTCCCAAGTAAAAGTTTCACCATTACAACGTTCAAGTGGAATATCATGTTCAACAGTAATACCATTTATCGCTTGCCAATCGAGTAGAGGAAAAATGAAATCATAATTATAAGTATTGCCCGTATATAAATTCAGTACACCTTGACCACTATGTTCTGCTTTTAAATTTTCACCATTAATACATTCAGTAGGTTGTGTTCGAATAGATTGCATTTCAATAGCACTTGTCCAATTTGCACGACGATGTACTTGATAATCAGATAGAAAAAAATGTTTATTACCAATTAATAAAGAAGCATTTGATTGATTATCAAGACGATTAGCAAAATTAATTAGTTCTATTTTCGTGTCATTTGATTCAATTAATTCTGCCACTATTCTAATCAATTCTGTATTAAATTCAACATGATATTCCTTGTTGGGTCTGGAAATAGCTCTTCCTAGCACGTGCCAGTCCCATTCATTACCTATAATCATCCACGCATCACCTTTAGTTACAAACTGAGCAAATGTGAATAACTGTTGTTCATTTAGCGCATATTGAGTTTTCTGGCTACAGACGATGAATGAAAAGATATTTACAGCCCAAACCATTCCATAAGTACCAGATAATAATTGTGATCCATGAAAATGATAAGACCAATCATATTGTATTCCTACTTCATTGGATGATACAATAATAACATCTTCCCACATTCGTGTAAAACCTTGTTCAATACCTGTAATATTATTTGTGGCTAATGATCGATAAATTTCAACTTGAATCATCCACACTAGATTAGCACCAGTATGATGAAGGCTACCCAACCACCAAGCTGATCGATAAGATATTTCTTTAATCTTTTCAATCTCAAAATGAGTTGCATTATCACCTAACATCAACAATTGACTAGTTGCATGAAGAGGAATATTTATTTCATTAAACCACCAATTTGGATTTTGCCAATCATTAATTAACCAGACATTAAGAGCACAATGAGCTGCTTTTCGTATTTGAGAATCATTGTGAACAGTTGAACCATTAACAGTTAATGCTTGTAACATATTTGTTATTCGATACATATGTCTTGCTGTAAACCATTCAGCAATACCTTTATCTGCATAATCTATATCTGGCCAATAACAAGAACTATTTAATGTTCGAGTAAATGTTAATGCAGCTACTACTGTAACAGATATATTTTCTTTCGTTGGCCATACCATCAATTCCAACACACGTTGACGAATAATTAAAAGATCATCATTTGGTATGTGGCCAAAGTCACACCATGTTGAAGATAAGAAAAGAAAGAGAAGAATATCATATGATCTCATCATAATAGAATATGTAGTTCTTTGCAAAAAGATTCATCTATGTTTTATAGGATGTACTTATCAGCGCTCATTCTTATCAGTAGAAACAAGAACATATACACAAGTCACAATTCTATAAATAACTCCTAGTAAGAATTATCATTTTAAGAAATGGCTGAATCGGAAACAAAAAGTTAAAG